GTAGGCGTCAGAGTCGTTCGAATCATCACGAATTCCACCGCGCAACTTGTCGCGCGCACCCAGAATCGCACGAATCGTGCGTCCCCCCTAGCACTATCGCGAAGATGTTCGACAATGTTATATTCCTAATTGATATTGCAATGACGGGAACTGTCCAAGAACTCGCAAGGGAAGCGAACTGATCACAAGTGGTAAGGGCCTTGCGGCTCGATTTTTGAAGCACTACAGCCGCGCAATAAAAAAAACAGAACCTAGCGCGGAAGAAACGATGGTCCAATGCCCTGTAGAACTTTGAACAACAACGACGTCAGTGATCTAAAACTCTTGATTGAAAATCGGCTTCTGGAATGAGAATCACCATGAATGGTGGGAGTCTACTCCAACAAAAACTCTCAGACAAATGGATAACCCAGACAGACTGTCACCTGCTCATTCCATTTGTTTCCATGAGCCCCAATGTGGTTTTCCGCCGTTTTTTCAGGGTCAATCTTGGCCGTCACCGACTTGAACATGAAAAGAGTATAGCCTTCTTAGTAGAGCTTTTCTAGGTCCAAATAAATTGCTTTCAGCTTCCCTTCTATTTAGTTCGATTTTGGTGAATAGGCAATCAGGAATGTTAAGAGGATTTGAGCCGCATCGTTTAAATCGCAAACATACGGTTTTGGTTGGCAAACTTTTGCATGTTCATGGGCAAGTGCGAAGTGATCAGGATGCCTCCGTCGCCGACTTTTCTGCTGTCGCATGTCTGAGGATTAGTTTCCCTCCAGTCTCAAATAGGGGCAGCGGCGATGTTTTCTCGTCTAGGTCAGTCCGATGTCGTGGTACTTGAACTTCTGAGCTCGCATCATTAAATTTACGGTACATGCCGATGCAAGCGTTCGTGCGTTCAAAGTATGTCGCTATCTTAGGCTGGTCCCTTTTTTACGCAGCCTGTCAGCATTTAGGCTTTAGCACCTTTTCCCGGGCGGCCCTGNCAAAACGATATGTCTATGCCTCAATCAAAATAAATTCTTGCTCCATTATCAAAATTTCAGAACTTTTTGAAATCCTTCAAGCAAATCATGTCTGAACAATCACCCANCCACGAGTAGCTTACCAGGCTTTGACCTCTTCAGTAGACTTCAGGTAGCTAGCAATACTGTCCCTTTGTGAAAAGGAAGCTTACTTATTGGAGGCGGTTCGAACGTCTCCTGGGTCACTTTCTAGTCACTCCAGTGCAAGCTTTCGGCATTTCGATGATTTTTGACCCGCGGTTTATATCTATATCCGCCACCTGGTGTCATGTCACTTAGCTCCACTGGCTAGACGTCCTTCACCTAAGGAGCTCTCAGTGCAGGAGATGAAAGAAGAGATATAGTACTTCGGGCAAAATAGCTGACATAGCTCCATAGAAATTAATCAAAGCGTTCGATGTCAAAATGCTTTTCCATAGACATTTTGACTTGCTGTCCATCTGTTTCAGTATAACAGGGCTCTACCCTCACAATTTGGATTCGATAGCTATTTGACCGACGAACCTTTAGTAAAGCAAAATAGGTCGGAAATTTGTTAATCATCACTTATAACAAAATACTTGGAAAAAAAAACTGGGAATGACTTCCAACGTCGTGATCTCTTCGATCTATTGATGGCTTTCGTCAGGCTGACCACCAGCCGAGCTACCTTAGTCTCATTATTTTTGTCTGTGAGCACTGTTATTTGCGTGTAATTTGTCGGTCAAAGGCATTCGCGTTTCCAATTAATTGTTTGTTCCTTCGCGTCCAATCTTATCTATCAATATTTATGTATTCAGTTCTAGGAGGTTCTGAGAATGCATGTAAAACGTTTTTCATTCTCTTTTCAATATAATTTCCTACCACACGTTCAGATTCATTTCAGATACCAAAGTTAGGTCAAAACGATATGTCTATGCCTCAATCAAAATAAATTCTGGCTCCATTATCACAATTTGAGAACTTTTCGAAATCCTTCAAGCAAATCATGTCTGAACAATCACCCACGGCTGTTATAAAAGTTTTGTGTCGGAGATTCCCTTTCATATAGGTGGAAGCCAAAAGCTTTCCTTTCATAAAGGTGGAAGAAATATCCACCTGATCAGATATTACGGATTCTGAAGCTGAAAGCCTAAGGTTCATTAAGAAGGCGAGAGCAAGCGGGTCCGGTTAGTGCAAGGGATAGAGCACGATGTCCGGGAAGCCCAATTTCATGTTCGAGTCCTGTCTGAGATTAAAGTTTTGTCCATAAATCGCCAAACTTGTGAATACTACGGAATGTTTTTTTTTTAATTTTAACGATGATCCCACTCTGCCAATAGGTAGACCAATTTAGCGGTCACACTTAGTAGGAGGGGATTGCTCGCTGCAAGGGCAGACAACTTCGGTCGCTTAGTTTAATCTCTGTTCAACGGCAGGTAAAACATGGTAATAATTAGATGACAAAAATCCTCTTCAGAATGTCCTTGTGCGAATGTCGATAAATCTCAGCTTTCTTCCTCCAGTTTTTACAGAACCAATGTTTAGATAGTAGAGCGCGAAGACGCAAGAAATGACACCTTAGATCAACTGAGGCAGCCCTTGTAATGAGCAGTAATCGCCTAATGTTCCAAAGGGGAAACTGAAAAACTTCCCCGATAAACACTGAGCCTCACAAGGTTGGCGATTTGTGGGCAAAACTCCAGTCTCGGACGGGACTCTAACCCGTACTTGTCCTTTCTGGAGACCGTGACTGAGCCTCAGTTATTCCGTTGATGGGCTTTTTTTGATGACGAAAGCGTCGCATGTTGTGTCCATCCCCCAAAAACCGAATCTGTTTGCAGTATGATGGTTATTTCCGATAGTGAAATCATCGTCTCGTTCGAACGTAAGTTATTTAGCATTTGTAAGCCACATAAAGACGACATTGTCATGCGCACCGACGTTTTCTCTTCTTTCATTGTTATTCATTGAATTCAGCCCTTTTCGCCGAACACAATTCGGAGCAGTCTTTAGAATACGGTTCTTGCGA